AACGGGCTTTTAAAGAAGGGCCGATCTCACCTTGATGAAACCGACGTAGGCCTGGCTCAAACACACGTCGGCCGGGAACTTCAGGCTTTTGGGATGATTGATAATTTTCGAGTAGATGGCTGTCGAGGTCGAGCCCTCGAAGGGCGGACTTCCGATGGTCAGCTCATAGGCAAGCACCCCCAACGACCAAAAATCGCAGGAAATCTGCAGAAACACCGTACAATCGCAGGAACTCTGGAAGCTTGCAATGTTACCCCATATCCCGATGTTTTCTCGCTTTTGTTGTCCAAGCACTGCAGCACTTCGGGGGCAATGTAGTCGGGCGTTCCCACCGGGGGGCCCACCTTAACCAGGCCGTCTTTGCCCAGTTTGGCAGCCGAACCGAAATCCGTTAGCTTCAAGTGCCCGCAACGGTCTGAAATTTGCCAAACGAGGCCAAATGAGTGCTGTTAGTGAGCGGAATTGGACGATGGGGCCCACCAAGTAAGATGTTGTCGGGTTTTACGTCCCGATGCACGTAGCCCATGCCGTGGAGATGGTGAAGAGCCAAAACTAACTCGGCCAGATAGAATACGGCTGCGCTCTCTGGCAAACTGCCGCCTACTCTATAGAGGAGCCCTAGAAGGAGCATGGTTAGAGCGGTTGACTGGGGAAACTCCCTAGACGTACCCAATAGGTCCCCACCAGGGTGATAGTCCATGACAAAGAACAAATAGGAACTGTCCTGAAACGAGTACTGCAGGCTGGTGAGCCACGGCGAGGCCCCGAACGCCATTATGTCCCTCTCCTCTTCAAAGGACATTCTTTTTGTCCCATTGTCAAATTTCCTGATGGTTTTCATTGCGTATATGTCGCCAGTTTGCTTTTCTTTCACTACGTGCACTTCTCCAAAGTGGCCACATCCTGCCAAAGCAAAAATTTTAACCTTTTTCCCCTAACAGTAGTTAAGTATGAGGCTAGCAAACTCTTCAATGAGCACAGAACCCGCGTAATCCTTGCATACCCTAGGCTATTAGATGTAAAACGAGGCGCTAAAACTTACCTATAATATTCTTAATCTCAAAGTCACTGATATTCACCCTGAGAGTCTTCAGGTTCTTGATGGCACTTTTATACTTTAGCACAAAACTCGCAATGTTCGAGTCCAACTTTTGCATTCCCTCAGCACTGCACTCATCGTACAGGACCTGTAGGGCGTCCAGAACAGTCTCTCGGCTTATCAAGGGGGCTCTTTCAGGTGTTTTCGTTTTACCGGTGAGTTCTGAGTTCAGTCGCGCCACCCTTACGCTTATGGGTTCCTTGAGGGTTTCCATTGGCCCGCTTTTATTCAAAAAACATTAAAACGCCTTACAGTTTCGATACGAGAAACGTTTGAAAACAAACCGAAATGACCGTTAGATGTTACACCTGACACTGACAGCTGCGTGTGTGTGCGGGACAAAGATCGCGCATGGGGTTATAGCAGCAGAAAAAGATAGAGAAATGCCGAAGTTGTCCGACGTATAGACGTGACTGTAGACAATATTAATTATTAATATATTTTACAAATTGGGGCAAGAAAAATGACAATCACAACAAATATACAATTTATTTCGGTAAGAAACAAATGTACAAATTCCTTGAAATACGAGGTTATATATTATATACATTCAGTTTCATATAAAAACTTTAAACATGATAAATGCACCTTGAGAAATAAAAACTAGAATTAATTGTCATTTCCATAATAAATGCGAATAAATATGTTAGTGGCTGATATGTCGCATGAATCATCACCGAGAACAATACAGAATGCCGGCACAGACTTGATGGGGTTTGAATTATTTTGAAAAACAAATATACTTATGGTAAATTGAGTTAAAATTAGGCTACATCCATCAGTACAAATATAGACAATACATTAATTAGAGGGATTCTTCCAGTTGAATCTTTGAGGGCCGAATTTCAGGCAGTTCTTCTGGTAAAGCACTAGAAACTGTTGGCCAAAAACCATTAAAATGCAACACATTTACACTCACATTGGTTATGTACATTGAAAAACTAGCTTTCTTAGTTGGACTTTGCACAACGGAGCGACTATAAGCATTTCGCAACGTAACAAATACAATATCAATTTTCTTGAGTGGTAATTAGGCAAATTTCAACGCCAATAAAGGTGTATAAAGATAAGACATTATCGGTTAATCCTCATTGATTAAAGGCCCAGAAATTAAATGAACCACACAGTGGAGCACTTCGGGGAACCGATTATGCCCAAACTATGGGATTTTTCCGGATACATCCAACCTGTGTGCCACATGAAGAGTTGCAGTTCCCAAAATATCACATATTTTTGGCCTTGCAGGTTTAGCGCATGGAAGCCGAAATTGTCTAACAAAGTGGCGACTTGGGTTCATATATATCTACTTGGACACTGTACAGACACATTCACACAGATCCTGGCATGCTAACAGCATTTGCTTTTCTTTGAAGATTTCTTTTTATCTCTTAAATTCACTACATCTTTATGGTCATTTTGCCTCTCCTTCATTTCCAGTTTCGACCTGCAAATCCATTGGACCATTACACTTGAACTCTGTTAGGTTCCTGATTAGATTACCTTAATACTAGCCGGGTGATGGACATGAACATTTCCTCTACGTTAATATTGTCTTTCGCTGATGTTTCGAAGAGTTTTATGTTCATGGTATCGGCGAACCGTTGAGCATCTTCAGTTAACACCACTTTCCTGTCGGGGGTATCGTTTTTGTTCCCCACTGAAATCGGGCGAAAAGAGCGCCTTAGGACTACCCAGCTAGAAAATGAGCGTGACTCACCTAAAACTCTATTAACCACTTCGCAATTCTGGTCGATTTCATGTAGCCACCGTTTCACGTTTGCAAAAGTCTCTCCATTTGTGACGTCGTAAACTATCACAACACCGTGTGTACCTCTATAGTAACTGCAATGTGAATGAACTAGTAATTGAGAGGAATCTGTGATAAATACGAAGAGCCTTACGTGCTGGTGATGGTTCTAAACCGTTCCTGTCCAGCTGTATCCCAAATCTGCAACTTCACCTTCTGTCCATCAATGTTCACTGTTTTAATTTTAAAGTCCACCCCTATCGTGGTGATATAGCTGCCAGTGAACGTGTTGTCTGAGAAACGTAGCAGGAGAGAACTTTTGCCCACACCTGCAAACAGACATCAAACACTTTGTGGTGACTCGAATGATGCTCGTGGAATGTAAAATATGACGCCTTCGCAAGCATGTACAACCGAAATACCGGAAGCAACTACAATGCTGATAACTCGGAATTCTTTAATTTGGACCAATTTGCGCTTAAACCCCGCCCCGAGGAGGATTCCTCCACTCACCACTGTCTCCAATGATTAATAACTTAAACAAGTGATCGTAGTCCCTCGCCATTTTACTTTCCCTAATCACTCCCTGGATGCTGATTAATTAAATAGACATTAAAACACCTGGCGCCAGCACTTTGTTTATCTAAAAGGGAATGTTAGCACTTTTCTCGGGACTTTCTGTGGGATGAATCGATGATGGATGCCAGACTGACAGCGATTGTCAAATTTCGTTGTCAGTCAAAGTCTGTTGCGGCAGTGCCATATCACCCAAATGATGACCACCACCACATGTAAACAAAAGAAATGCCAGCGGTCACTCGTATAGTATAGTATATAATTTAGCCTCCAGCAGGCGCTCAAACTTTTAATTTTTGCAACACTGTAACTTTCTAGGGCTTTACGGCCAGTTCAGACTTCGGTTGGCCACAGTTTCTTTCACTTCCGTCAGTCAGTGACAGATCAGTCATTCGACAGTAGGTTGGACAGCATATTGGCCAGCCATTAAAGTTCCAGAGTTTGGTGATCTCAGTTTCAGAAAGGTCTTAGAAACAATGGGAACCGAAGTGGAGGTTTTTACCATTGGGAGTTCTGTTTGGTGTAAAACGTTTACGAATCATGAATACGCAGGCGAAGTGACGGGATATCATCCAGAGATCCGAACGCTAGTGTAAGTATCCTGTGAACATGAGCACAACACGTTGTTGATATTATTGTTTTTATCACTTTTGTGGCTATTTACTGGCAATATAGCCCCATTTCTCATCAAATCTAGGGGGGATTTATAAGCCCTCTTGCTCGGATTGAGGGATTCGAGCAGACTGAGCTGATTGGGCCCAAAATCCTCATCAAAACACGAGGTGCATTTGGGGCCATTGGCGCACGTCTGGAGTCCCTCATTGATCGAGCGCGTGTTTGCCAACATCCACGTTATTAACGCTGCTCCCACATTTCCTTATTATAGTCTACGGTGCCCTTCGTCAAATGGAGACCCCAAGTTGAGAAACGTCGTATTTATAAACTTGACCAGCGTTATAAAATTGAGAGTCAAAAATGATGGGAATAAACACCACGACCCACCTGCAAATGTGAACCTGCATAGGGTAAGTAACATAAATGTAAGAGCGCTAAGGCCACGCGCTTCTGGGGAATTGTATTTTAGGGTAAGATGGTAACTTGTGGCAACTTTGCAAACTTTGGTTTCAAAAATGAGGCTTGCATAAAATTGCACGTGCTTCTTTAAGATTTCGCAACTTTCAAGTAGAAACTTTCCCGTACTATAAACGACGCGTGAATCTAGAAGCCCTGAAAGTTTCATTAAAATACCGTGGCAGCCTGACCTGTGGCGACTTTGGAAACTTTGGTTTGAAAAACGTGGCTTTTATAAGACTGCACGTGTTCGTTTAAAATTTCGTAACTTTCAACTTTCCCAGACTATAAATGACAAGTGAATTTAGAAGCTTTGAGAGTTTCATTAAAATACCGCGGAAGCCTGACCTGTGGCGACTTTAGAAACTTTGGTTTCAAAAACGTGGCTTTTATAAGGCTGCACGTGTTCCTTCCCAAAAGCCCGCTTCTTCGCAGCATAAGTTTCATTCAAATTGCGCTCATTTTTGGTTTTTGCCATGAGTATAAAAATGCTTATCGCTTCTGACTTAATACAATTTTAATTAATTTTCAGTTAAGTTCGAGGATCCGTAACCAAGTTGAGCAGAAGAGGCGAACGCTCCAAGCAATATCTGCCAATGTATCCGTAGAAGGACAAAGTCTATTTCTAGCATTATCGAAAATTATACAAGACGTCAAGTGGAGAAACTCAGATATTGTCATTTACAATCAAGAGGTGTGTGTGTGTTCACTGAAACTGAGCTCAAACTGAATTGTTCATTTTTCAGGTGTACATAAGCCCTCCATATCAACTGGAAAATGTCCACGGAAATACGAACAACAAGACCTACGATTACATCGTGAAAGTGGTAAGTTTGTGCTCGCGTTGTTCTCGACTGGCAATTAAGCGACTGATTTTCAGGTTGAAAAGCATATTCAAGGACGAGCGATGAGTTCAAATGCAGCTGTGAATACTGAAAATTCACAGTTGCAATCGAACACAAGACCTTCACAGTAACCGACACGGACACAGCGAGAGTATCAGTTTTTATACTGTGTGTATTCGGCCCGGTCGTATTGGTTGAATTGTGGCAAGAATATTCTAGTTTAAAAGATGCTGTGAACTGATGCTATTCAATTGTTGTACTTCAAGAGCCGGATATTTATTCGTTGACTACGTGTGCTACATTTCAGTTGATACGACCATTTTGAGAACGCTAGAACAGTTCTTTTTGTTTTTTATTTGAAAAACTTTATGTTAATTCCAACTTTTTAATTTATATAATTTTTAAGATGTACAATTAAAATATCTTAGGCTCATTCATGCACATTTTGCAGTTTTCATTGTTTCTTCTCAAGATTAAATGCCTATTTTCAAAGAAAATTGTTGATTTTACTTTACCAACACCCTACCACATATACCTATCTTTGTCCGGCGTGCTAATTCATGGTGGATGGACGGTTGACTTTGACATCGACTTTAAATAGGTAACCTAGCCCAACTCGTCTTCTTCAATGAACCTAACCAAGAAATGACTGGCAGTCTAAATAATAGAAAGGAAAATTCGAAGAAAACCAAGATTGAGGCAAGGGTTTTGAATAAAACCATAGTAAAACGTTATAGACGGGGTGCTCGCAACGCCAAGCGCCGTTGCAGGCGAAAAAAGAGCAAGAAGGCATACATCAGCATGCTCAAAAAGGGGCGAATCACTCGAGAAACTGAGGAACTCTGCAGCAGCATTCAAGAGGTGGACGTTGTGGACATGGAAGAGCTGCCAGAGCTCAGCAGCCTTCCCCGAGAAGTCGCTGAATGGCAGCGACAAGTATGTGCAAAATAACCTATTAAACACCCCTTTATTAGTTCAATTATTACTAGGACCAAATTGCTTACTGGAAGTCTCGAGCAATAAGCTTTGAAATCGAAAACAAGATGCTGCGTGAACACTTGCGGAACGTCTATGCTGATCAAATACAACAAGACTATAACCAATCGCAGGCCTGGCCAAGTGCGTCTTCCACGACGCAGCAGCAGCGATATGAGAAAAAAGGCAAAGCAGCACTAAAGCAAAATTGCCAAGACAAAGTGAAAGTTCTCCCGAAGGAGCCAATAGGTAAAAACAGGCTAACGGAAATGGAAAAGATCTATGGGGATGTGGCGCCGAAAATCATGGGAATGGAGACAGCAATCGAACTGAACTATCAAAGGCTGATGGAGGAAGCACCGGCCTATTGGCCGAATATTCCCCTAAAGTTATAAACCTAGTCAAGAATTAAAAAACATTTCCTTTATCCAAGTTTTTTAGTAGTCAAACCGGCAGCTTTCTAGCTCTGTGGGAATGCAACCAGTCTTTCAGCTGGGGGGCCAATAAGCCCCCCAAAATAATCTGCGTCGGATGATAAACCAGCAGCGGCAAGCTGATCTGGCTCAAGTGCGAGTATCCGTGGAACATTATTCTTAGAATGGGAATGCCTGAAAACTCAAGCCTCATTAGAACTCACTCACTTGGCAAGCACAAACCTCACCTACCTAAAGTGAGGGATTTGTGGGTGGAACAGAACACTATCGCAATCACTTCCGCCGGACTAAACATGCCTTTGAACCAGTTGGCCAACTTAAAGCTCAAAATGATGAGGATCATCTGGAGAAGCAACACTGAAAACGCTTGGTAGAAACAGCAAGAGTAGGGCCGGGTAAGAAAAGTACCTGAAAATATGGTTATAATCACATCCAGCGCAGAGAGGCCAGTCTCGGGCACAAGGAAAGTATCACAAAAAGTGGTGTAAATCACAAACAATAAAGCACACTGGCTGATGGTGTTCAAGGGGATCCTCTGGCCTGGCAGCTGAGTGTACACTTTGATTGCTTGCCCTAAAACGAGCGGAAGTAGCACGGTTGTAGTCAATTGCGTGACTGTGCTGAACAAGGGCACTATCGTAGTTGAGCCCAACTGGAAATTCAATCAAAATTACCAAGCGTAATAGTGGAAAAACAGTGGCCACTCACATTGAGCAGCAGGGACAAAGGAGTGAGGATAATGCCCAGAAAACTTCCCACCAAAGAGTTGAAAATTGCGGCCGTCTCATTGCCTTGGGCAGCTCTAGTTAGAATAACAGCACTGCTAACTGGAGGCGGCATACAGGCCACAGTGATCAGACTGCAAGCTTACCAATCAGCTAGAAAAACCCTTCTATCCGGAAATCACTCACCCTTTGAGAACCCATCCGTTGATTCCAAACAATGCGAGTATTTTAACGAAACATTGCGTAAAAATGGGGATAAACACAAAGGTAAACACTTGTATAAACAAATGCAGGCGATAGTGCTGAAAAGTGCGCAAAATGCTGTCGGTTTTCAAGGAAAACCCACTGATGAGAAACATTAGCGAGACAGCGCCATATTTCACAGAGTACTCGGTTTTCAACGGCCCTAAAAGCGACTGGTTTAGCTTGGCGAGCGAGTGAACACATCCAAAAGCTTGCCATGTTTGGAGCCAAAGTCCGGAAAGAGCCCCGCTAGAAATATGCAACCTAGAATCGCACTTAGAAGCCAATTTTTCCGCAGGAACTCTCCAGGGGTGATCCTTTGGCGCATTTTAACAGTCCTATTTGCTCGTGGACATTCACATGGGAGTGGCACCCTGAATCTTGTTCCATTCAATTCCCGGGGGCATTGGGGGCTCCCTTATAGGTTGGTCCGGTTAAAGAGTGGTGCAAAGCCACAAACATTGCTAGAAAACTCAAACAGGGAAATTCAACTCCTCAAAACGCCAATGTTTATTTTTTGACGCGACAATAACATAACCTCGATATTTCCAACTGTCTGTGCCATAGATGAAGACAACCATAGATAAAGACGAGTAGAGAAGACAACTTTACGTGCTGTCACTGTCACTGTGTTTGTATGGGTTAAAACACAAAATATCCCCCCTAGGGGGTATGTTCTGTGGGTCAAAAAGAGAGCACAACAGTAGCGTGCAGGAAAAGTCGTATCTTCAAACCCCAACAGCTATTGTTAAATCGAGATTTTTAACTACTTCGAAAATTGTTCAATAGTTAAATCGAAATGTCCAACTACTTCTAAAATTTTTCAACAGTTAAATCGAAATCTCCAACTATTTCTAAAATTTGTCAATAGCTAAATCGAGATCTTTAACTACTTTTAAAATTTTTCAATAGCCAAATCGAAATCTCGAACTATTTCTAAGATTTTCCAATAGTTAAATAAATGAAAATAAAATAAAATAGTTACAAGTTCGTTCAGAACTGGCAGAGCCAAGAGCCAGCTCATTTGCTTTCGTCATAGCTAAAGACAAGCTCCTCACTGTTGTAGAAGCGCCAGAAAAATCCTCAAAACAAGTTCCCAATATGCTCCTAAAACGTCAATTATCATAAATATACCAAAATCCTGCTTGCTCGAGGGCGAATGGTAGATTTTTCAACAAAAACCGCACTTCCCATAGGGAAAATATCGCAAAACAGTGCATGAAAACTTGCTCATAGCAGTGATATTTTCAAAATTTTTGCCGACCAAAAACCAACACACTGTTGCCTGCATGGGCGCGAATCCCCACTTAAAAGTGCACACTGTTCACACAAATTGCGAATAAATCCCGGCAATTAACCACCAACGGGCAACAATGCATAGTGCTCGCGACGTCTACAATGACAAGTGAGTGACAGTCGCTAACATAAAAAACACCTCAAAATGCAATTATAAACAACAGTTGATAAGCGGAAAAAATTCAAGTGAACCGACCCAGTTGAGCTATGGTTGATTATTAGAGGGCAGAATGACTTGAACGTGTTTCCCGAGTCGAACAAGCTGAACGAAAATGTCTTCGCAATTTTCAAGGCAAAATGGTAAGCAGAAGAGGTTTTCCATCGACGACGCCTTTGAGGAGGAGACCGATGAAGCCATTAAGGTCTATGGAATGGCCAGCCCGACGGCGCCTAATAGCAAACTGGGGCAGGGCGATTCCATAACTGTTACTATTGAAAATGACAGGTGGGTGTCCAGTGTATCCAAACTTGTATGCTAATGTTACCTTGAGTGCATTCACGCTTTTTCAGACGGTACAAACCGATCCTGGACACGTCTAGGGACAGCGACTCCTTAATCCAGGACTACTATGAGTGCTCCAGTGACGAGCACATTCACAAATCGTGCTTTACACATCCCAAAGTACGGGAAAACTGGCGAATGGTCTTGGCAGCTACCACGCTGTTGATTATTGGGACTGGCCTGTTGGTGACGGGCACCCTCACCCTGAATGAGCCCCATTCCATGCTGCAGTCCTCAGTGTTTCTATTGGCCGGTCAGCAATCCATCAAAAGTGCATAAAACAGTTTTGATTGAACAGATTGATTGCAGGTTTCATCTGTTTCATTCCTGGTGCCTACCATGTGGTTTACATCTACCTGGCAGCGAAGGGTAAGCGAGGTTATCACTTCCACAACTTACCACTGTTCACATAAGCTTGATAATCACTGGTTTGCGATTACTATTATTATGACTTAGTCCTGGCGGGTATTGTATTTATTATTTGGTTGTTCTTATATTTAGGTCGTTTTGTATCGGAGATTTGTGTAAATTTAGGAAAATTATCCAATTGAGCCACGGTATGAGTGTAAATATTTCTGTAGATTAGCTCAAGTTCATCACAGTAGCTTCGAATGGAATCTCTGTTAACATTTGCCATATCTAGCATTCCGTCGGTTGGACTATTTTGGTTGTTTTTTTCTAATTACGAAGCCAAAGCAATTTTTTTTATGCAATGCAATTAGCGATAGAGGACTTAAGCGATCTGACAAGGTGTTTCTAAGTAGGTAATAGCCGTACTTATTTAATTATACTTTATATAAACCGCTGTTGTGTTTGATTCGTCCTAGCAGTGAACTATATTATTCGTCTTGCAGCAATCGAAATAATTACTCTTGGTACCACTAACAGACCTTTCAACGTTGCCACTTGATGGCTGATTTCTTGGTTATGACTCACATCAGTGCTTTGAATTGACTCATGTCAATGTCAATCATGTGAATAGACAGCGAAGCGCTTGGTTTACTTTCTCTGCACCTACGAATTTTTGTTTGGGTTTCGAAAACAATCAGGTATGCTTTCAATCAAATCAGCAGCTTGTGCATAAACCGCTGGTTTTTTCTCCGCTAAACACAGACGAGAAGATGCAACTGCAAATTCTCCAAATTGAAGTTGCCCATTTGGATCTTCCTTAACGATCTCATTTCGCCCTATCTAGCTTGTGGCTAAGCACACTGGCTGGGGCTAACTACAAAATGATTCTGTTTAACCAGCAATGATTGTAATGGTTCAGCTTCGCCAGACAATTGCGAATGAAACTAGCGCTGGGTCAGAGAACAGGGACACTGTTGGACGATGAACGCATCGGTTGAGGAGTCTTGGACGACCTTTTGGGAAAGTTCGGAGTCTGAACAGGACGCGGTTAGCAACGATGTAGATCCACAGGGCACTAGGAACGGTAAAGCCAGGTACTGGATTAATATAATTTTTTAGAAAGGGTTGTTGGATCGTTGCTGTTTCAGATTAGGCAGCATGGCCAACGCAATTAGCCCAATGCGCTCACTGCTGAAGATTCAGTGCATTATATGCAAAGAGGCCATTTTCGTCGACAACTTCTCTGAACACATAGACTCTTGCGGTCGAAACAATCGAGAGACGCAAGAAATGATGAAAGGCAGTTTGGAGAGGATTTTGCGTAATTTCACTCCCGTTGTGCAGAGAAAACGCAAGAAATCTGCATCCGAAGCAGCAAACGACATCTACAATGTGAAGAGCCTTAGAAGTGGGGACGTTTCATTAGATCCTAATCGACGGTATGAGAACGTGCGAAGAGGCAGATCCAAGACTCTGTTGTTGAATAGTAGTGAAAAAGACTACGATTCATCCCAAGATAGTTGTGGTAAGACTTCGAGCATGTAACTAACCAGTTGGACAGTTGGATACCCCGATTATTTGCAGGTCCATGGCGAGTGACTGAAGAAAAGATGGCATCCAATCCAGAGCGACCTCCTAGGCTTATCAACACAGATGTAACTACAGCAGATAACTCGCTTCTGCTGAAAAACAGCACGTTTTCCTGCTCGCTCTGCTCGTACACTACTTTCAAGAAAGCACGCCTGCAGAAACACGAAAGCTTACATCGCGTAAGACAGGCCAAAGTCCTGCAATGCTTTTACTGCAGTCAACGATACACGAGTGGTGCGCTTGTGGTACATATCCGAGAAGTACATCCCGGCCTGGAGTTTCGCTTCAGAAATATTGAAGGCGCCGAGGTGACGCGATTGGCATGCACGAACTGCCCTTACAAATGTCTGTTGAAGGTCCAACTGAAGAACCACATGAGGAGAGAGCACAGCGCAAAAACCGCAGATACGCGGAAAAAAATCCTCAGGAAACTGACCATTGTGCTGAAGAGGGAGAATTTGGAGGCTGTGAAACGTCGTCTAGATCAGCTTCGAAACGTTGACAATGCCGGAATCGCATCGCCTCAGAGCCCCAGTCCAACCACATCAGATGGAGAAAGTTCCTTCGAGTGTTCCAAGTGTTCTTTTGCTTGTTCCAGTAATAGTAAATTTTGCTCCCATGAAGAGACGCATGATTGCAAAACAAGTGAGTCCACAGTGGTCTCCCCGCGACAGACGCCAAATAATGTTAAAGGCACAGTAAAACTTCCGTGCACAATGTGTTCAGGTGAGTTCAGCTCAACGTCTTGCCTGAATATTCACATGCGGACACATTTACGTAACCAGCCTATACAGAAGTGCTCTCAATGCACATTTCAATCGTCTAGTCGTTGCCTGCTGAGACATATCAGAGCGAGTGGACACTATAGTGGGCGCTGGCAGACCAGGATTTTACTCAAAAAGGTCAGAAAAGAATCCAAGTTGGATGCTGATGAGCACAGCACCCCTATTGACGAAACTCAAAGCGCCAGCTGTTTCATCAGAAAAGAACCTATTAAAAGTGGTGAAGGCTCTAATGGGTTTTTGAGCGAAAGCTCGACAAGCACAGTCTCCCCCAAGGCCACTGAAGAAGACTGCACATCCCCAGCTCGCCCAGAAACCACTTACTTAAACTTAAAGGAAGAGTATGCAGACATAGCATTTGGAAGCGATGATTCGGAAGCATTACATGGCGACGATGAAGACGAGCAGCTCCTGATGAAATGCACCCTTTGTTCGTTTGTTTGCACGAAGGCACACATGTACAAGCGCCACTTGGACAATCACATACGGCTGAGTATGCCGATTTTGAAGTGCCAATTCTGCAAATTCACCGGCACCAAGTACGGGTTTAGGGGCCATCAAAGCCGATGCGCCGGCTACAGAACAGCCGACTGTGCCTGGAAAGCTCCGCAAGAAATTCTGCTGACTTGTTCCGGATGTGCATTTAGTACTAATTCACCCGGGGAGTTGAACGCTCACACACAGAACTGCATGGACAAAAACAAGCTTCTGGGCCAGTGACTCAGTCCAGGCCAAAGACAGTGGGGTTGTGGCTGTATTGACAATTTTGTCATAGGTTTATATACATTCGTTATTAAGTTTCGCAATATAATAGATGTTGGCAACTGGCATATAAATGGTATGGTATTTTATTACTGTTTTTGATCTGATCGTGTCGATTGACTATCATCAGTAGAGTTAAGTATTAGCACGTTTCTCTTGTGGAACTTAATAATTTAAATCTTAGCAGTAGTGACATATTAAACTTACCATCAAGTTCGGGGTTCCTCTATTTCGGCGCTTGAGCTGGAATTGGAAGAATGTTGATCGGTTGAACTTCTGGGAAGCACAAGGAACATCATTAATAGACTAGAACCTGCCAAATTCCGCAAAAAATGTCAAAATCCGTCATCTTCGACGCTCTGTTGTCAGCCAACCCTGACCGCAAAAATTATTAAAGAAATTTCGAAAACAATCCAATTTTACTTAACGGCCTTTGCACCGCTAATAAAAGCAGTCCGAGACATAGAGAAAGTAAAATATTTTAAATAAATAATAAATTTTACTTGCTCTATGGTCCGAGACATAAATCACAAAGAAAAGTTCAGTTTTGAAGGAACAAACCTTTTTTTATTCCGCTATGTTGGCACCTAAGTGCATTCAAATGAACGCCATCCTATATCTCTGATTAGAACACCGTCAACGACTAGGATTGTCTCTGTTGTCTATATGCAGCTAACAAAGGACAGCAATATAATCTACCTGAAATCCCGTGAAATTAGTGGTTGGCAGGTTGGCAACCCTTTGTTATCATTGAAGCTTGATCGGGAAAGTCGCACTTTTGAAACCGGTGAAGACTATTTTTTCGAGTTTTTCCTGAAAATATGGCTGTAAGTACCTGGTTTTTTTGGTCCATGCACTTGGCGATACATTTGCTCGTTCTTCCTAGTTCCACTTGTCTCAAACATTCGCAACCAATTTCCTAACCTAAAATCCAGTATAAATGTGTTCCATTCATGGCGTTTTGGGGCGTTTCAGGCTGCTGCCGCTGCCAAAATCGCCGAAGTGCGCGAAACCACCCGCGTGGAGAGAATTGGGGCGCATTCCCACATTCGAGGCTTGGGCCTGAACGACAGCCTCGAGGCCCGCAATGTAAGCACCGTTTTATTTCTCCAACTCCCATCTAAGGTCTAATCTCTGCTGCAGGTGTCTCAAGGGATGGTCGGGCAAGTCTCGGCGCGAAGGGCCATCGGCCTGGTCCTCCAAATGGTAAAAGACGGGCGCATTGCTGGACGAGCTGTGCTATTGGCTGGACAACCTGGTGAGGCTTGACTGTTTATTGATCAAACAGCAGGTTCACGGGGGTTTTTTGCAGGGACCGGGAAGACTGCGATTGCCACAGCTTTGGCTGCGGCTTTGGGCTATGATACCCCTTTCACTAGCATGGCTGGCTCGGAAATATACTCGCTGGAAATGAGCAAAACTGAGGCCCTAACGCAGGCGATTAGGAAGAGTATCGGTGTCAGGATAAAGTAGGTTTAGTGAAGCTTTTGCGGGCTTTGGAGGAGTACGGGAGTTTCGTTTTTTCAGGGAGGAGAGCGAGATAATCGAGGGCGAAGTAGTGGAGGTTCAGATCGAAAGACCTGCCACCGGTGTGGGCACGAAGGTCGGCAAGCTGATACTGAAAACCACTGACATGGAAACCGTCTATGACCTGGGGGGCAAGATGATTGACAGTATTTTGAAGGAAAAGGTCCAATCAGGGGATGTGATCACCATCGATAAGGCTACAGGTTAGTGGCAACTGACTGAACAAGCTGTGATTTTAACTGGCGCTTTCAGGCAAAATCAGTCGGCTTGGACGGTCGTTCACCAGAGCAAGAGACTACGATGCCACTGGCCAACAGACCAGATTCGTTCAATGCCCGGAGGGCGAGCTGCAGAAGAGGAAGGAAGTGGTTCATACGGTCACTCTGCATGAAATCGATGTCATCAACAGCAGAACGCATGGATTTTTAGCACTGTTTTCAGGTCAGTTGAATGACTGCTTCAAGCCCTCTCCTGTAAAAGTACAGAAATGTTAAATCTTTGTCCAACAGTTTTCCTCACATAACTTCACATTTTAGGCGATACTGGGGAAATCAAGCCGGAAGTTCGGGAGCAAATCAACGGCAAAGTAGCCGAATGGAGGGAGGAAGGCAAGGCCGAAATCATCCCGGGTGTTCTTTTCATTGACGAGGTGAGCACCCGCAAGCTACAACAGGGCATGGGAACTAAATTGATTTAACACTTGGTCTCCAGGTGCACATGCTTGATATTGAATGCTTCTCCTTTATGAACCGAGCGCTGGAAAATGAAATGGCCCCCATAGTGATCATGGCCACTAATCGCGGCATTACGAAAATCCGAGGCACCAACTACAAGTCGCCGCATGGCATTCCTTTGGATCTTCTGGACAGAACCATCATCGTCCCCACTAGTCCTTATGACGAGAAGGAACTGAGGGAGATTTTAAGGTGAGCTGGGGAAGGAAGGTTGTTGTCATTATTTGCCGATACATCGTGATTGGTTGCAGTATACGCTGTGAGGAGGAAGACTGCCAGATGTCGGACAACGCGCTTACAGTGCTGACCAGGATTTGCAAAGAAACGTCGCTCAGATACGGGATGCAGCTGATCATGACCTCCAGCCTGATTGCCAGGAAACGAAAAGCCCAGGAAGTTGAGGTGGAGGACATCAAGCGGGCCTACCAACTGTTCTTCGATGAGGGCCGCTCGGTCCAGTTCCTCAAAGAGTACCAGCAGGAGTTCATGTTCAATGAAGGTAAGTGCTGGGCTGGGCGGGTGCTTTTATGGGTGTTGACCGGCGTGTTTTCATGCAGTGGAGGACGACCAGGACGAGGATAAAATGGAAACCAACTAAACGTTTCGGAATCTCCTTGAGCCACCAAAGTTCCCATTACTTAAGACTCGCTAGTTCTGTAAAGCATTGCAATGTTCATTGGGGGAAAATCAATTGATTCTCGCTGGTTGTAGGCCAGAGAAAGAGCCAGGTGTGCGCTTTAGCCTTTAATCAATAGATATTTCACATATTTCTATTCCCTCGTTTACCTTTTTGCAGTGCGTTAAAGCATCACCCTTAATCGGAAAGTTTCTTGTTACATTCTGTCGCTGATGGTTAGTTGCTGGTGATGGGCATCAGCGGGTAATACTTGTCCGAAGGCCTAAATGTCCAGCGCGAGCAAATCTCGTCGGCTTCCGCCTGCGTGTAACCATTCCTACAAGCAATCAAAGGAATGAAAGACAAAACGTGCAAATCAATAAGCGTGTATTGGCGACAACAACTAGAGCAGGCGTGCGATTTTTTGGAAAAACTGCTTCAAAATCAGCAGTTTTGTGCGCTTGAAAAGGCCCAAACGCAGCCTGCTGGCGCCGGGCTGCTTGTACCTATCGGACTTGGCCCATTCTAAGCGACAGTCCGAGCTGCCCGTGTTGATAAGCGAGCGCATGCTGTTCCTTTGCAAGCTACTGCTATTGCTGGAATAGTGAGGGCTAGTTTTAAAAGAGCCTTTAGCATGCGGGTTTTTCGGCGGTTTTTGCTACCTTTGCCATTCCGAGCAGGGGCTGCGCTGCTGGAAGCACACCACTTGGATGACGTTGAAGAAAATGGCCCCAATAGTATTGGCCGTTTCGCTGTTCACGTTCTGCAGGCATTTGCGGAAAGTTGCGTCGCAATCGCAGTGCGACCTGCAAGGCGGAAAATCGCATTTGCTTCACACTCTTGCCCAGTTTACCTTGTATAGGGCGAGTTGTTGCAGATCCCCTGCTGGCACTGGCCCTTCATCAGGTACTGGGGGCAGTTGTCGTGCTCCCGACAGCAGGCGTCCTCCTTCTTAAAGTAGCCCAAGTCCGAGTGGTTGGCAGCGACATCCCCTGGAAAGGTCCTGGATTGCACTCTGGACCTCTGCGATCACTCCGGGTTGCTTACCAGGCCCGCACCATTTGGTGCCCGGGTAAATGAAGCCTCCTTGTTGCCGCCGCAGCGCCTCTTTGTTCTGGCACACTTCCTCCAGCTTGCCGATCTCTTCGTCGGCCATTTGGCGGATGCGCGAGGCGTCCGCAGCCAATAGCATGGTTCGAATGTTGCCCCTGTCGGTGTGCACGTTGCAATAGGGGTCGTTGGTGGTCAGCTCGATCATTCTGGACATGCTGTTGTCAGCTATCAGCACTGTGCTGCCCAGCGCTGAGACAACCCACGCCAGCACATGGCTGGTGTAAATCAAGCTGCGATGCTGGATGGAAGTTCATTGGTTAAGGGCGTATGGTTGCTGAGTCTATGTGAAGGGATGGACTGAGTGCATAGGGGGTCTTAGGAGCCCTAAGGTCTAGGTGGGTTCCTAACTGGGAATCTGGAACTAGCAGAAACTTGGGACTTTTCCAGTCTTTATAAGGACCTGAGTTTTAGCGACTTGATGAACGTTTGCATCCAAGTGCTTA